TATGACAATGTTGTTGCTAGGATAATTCCAAGGATCACAAGCAATATGACTACACAAACAATAATGAACATCATTTTTGCCACCCTGGCAGGCAGGCACGCCGCTGCCGTCCTCCACACCATCACTTGCCAACTGACAAGCCAATGATTAGAGCAATCGCGACAACCAGAACCACTGACACAGCGACGATTATCCACTTCCTTCTCGCTTTGCTGCGATATCTAACAGCTTTTTTAGTTTCCTCTTTCGCATGTTCTACATAGTCCGCGGCATTCGTAACGTTCTTTTCTATGTTGATCATTTCACCCTGCGTCTCCACGAACATGGCCATGTCCATGAACATGTCGTGCAGCTCACGGATGCTGGTCTCCAGCTTCATGATGTCCTTGTGACGAGACGATCTCACTGAGAGCTTGTCTAGTAATTTGCGAATCTGATATAATGTCGCACGTGAAGACGGAAGGCCTCCTGCTCTCCAGCATCTCCTCCAGCTCCGCGTCCGTGGTGGTCCTCCCGGTTATTTCCAGCTGACGCTGGATGCGCCCCTTGCTGCGCTTCCGGAACAGCGTCTGCGCCTTGTTATACTCCGTCATGGCTTCCACAAACTTCCGAGACAGCACCGAGTGCTGGGTTCTTCGTATCCGAAGATCTACTGAGGTCCGGTTCCCACTCTCGTCCTGATCAAAACTTTGTTCAATGGCCTTTAACTTGGCTCGAATTTTATTAGGCGTTTTCTTGATTTCTTTGTTCAGATCTTCAAGCTCTTCTTTTATTTTTCCTTCTGGGTTTGGTGCAGAAAGAATGATGCTGTGGTTTTTCTTTACTTCTTCAACATATTGAGCGATTTTACTGATACTGTGTCTGACCTCCTCAACCTGGTGGAAGAAATCCTCCATAAAATGGTCCTTCTCAACAACAACAGCTGTGTCTCCATCGTCATTTTTCCTACACGCCATCAGGTCCGGCAGCCGGTCCCGCATTCCCACTGGCCGCGCGGCGCGCCCCGCCACTCCACAACACTTTATTCTAAGTAGAAAAAAATAGATTGCCAAGCAGTCGAGCTACTGGTTCTCCTCAGAGTCAAAATAATTCTTATGTATTTGTCTATTCAGTCTTCTTCTTAAGATCTTATTTCTTAAGAACTTACCTGAAGTGATCCAAAGATTATGCATGGAAGAGGCTCTCGATACAATTTTTTTATCTTTTGAGACAGAGTCTTGCTCTGTAGCCCTGGGTAGAGTGTAGTGGCATCGTCACAACTCACTGCAACTTCAAACTCTTAGGCTCAAGAGATCCTCCTGCCTCAGCCTCC